GGATCCTTTAAATGAATTCCTCAAATTCCTGGGATCCAGGGGCACACAGCCTGGGGATCCTTTAAATGAATTCCTCAAATTCCTGGGATCCAGGGCACACAGCCTGGGGATCCTTTAAATGAATTCCCAATCAGGAATTAACCAGCCCAGGCATGACCATGAGGGTGTGAATTGGGAATTCCCATGATCGTGTGGCTGGAAATCAGGAATTCCCAGCCCAGGAATGGCTGTCAGTCAGGAATTCCCAGGCTGTAAATTAGGAATTCCCAGCCCAGGGATGAATGTAAATGCCCATGACCCTGAAAATGTAGATCACGCATTCCCAGCCCAGGAAGGGCTGTCAATCAGGAATTCCCAGGCTGTAAATCAGGAATTCCCATGCCCCCCGGGCTGTCAATCAGGAATTCCCAGGCTGTCAATCAGGAATCCGGAGGCTGTAAATCAGGAATTCCCATGCCCCCCCGGGATGTAAATCAGGAATTCCCAGGCTGTCAATCGGCAATTCCCATGCCCCCCGGGATGTCAATCAGGAATTCCCAGGCTGTCAATTGGGAATTCCCAGGCCGTCAATCGGGAATTCCCAGGCCGTCAATCGGGAATTCCCAGGCCGTCAATCAGGAATTCCCAGCCTGTCAATCGGGAATTCCCGGGATGTCAATCAGGAATTCCCAGCCTGTCAATCGGGAGTTCCCGGGATGTCAATCAGGAATTCCCAGGCTGTCAATCGGGAATTCCCAGGGTGTCAATTGGGAATTCCCAGCCCGGGAATGGGGAATTCCCAGCCCGTCAATGGGGAATTCCCAGGCCGTCAATCAGGAATTCCCAGGGTGTCAATGGGGAATTCCCAGCCCGTCAATGGGGAATTCCCAGGGTGTCAATGGGGAATTCCCAGCCCGTCAATGGGGAATTCCCAGCCCGGGAATGGGGAATTCCCAGGGTGTCAATCGGGAATTCCCAGCCCGGGAATGGGGAATTCCCAGGGTGTCAATCGGGAATTCCCAGCCCGTCAATCAGGAATTCCCAGCCCGGGAGCGTCCCTCAGTGAGGAATCCCTCCCGCAGGGCGGCGAGAAGCTGCAGGACGCCTTCTACACGTTCCAGGAGCTGGCGGAGCGCGGCTGCCCCTCGCTGCTGCTGCTCAACGGGCAGGCGGCCGCCGCCATGGGCCAGGGCCGCTGGGACGAGGCCGAGGGGCTGCTGCACGAGGCGCTCGACAAGGTACCCCGAGTCCACAGGGACCCCCGAATCAGCAGGGACACCCCGAGTTCACAGGGACACCCCGAATTTACAGGGACACCCCGAATCCACAGGGACCCCCGAATCCACAGGGACACCCCGATCCGCAGGGACACCACGAATCCACAGGGACCCCCGAATCCGCAGGGACACCCCGAGTTCACAGGGACACCCCGAATCCACAGGGACACCCCAAATTCCACAGGAACACCCTGAGTTCACAGCTCGACAAGGTACCCCGAATTCCACAGGGACACCCCGAGTTCACAGGGACACCCCGAGTTCACAGCTTGACAAGGTACCCGAGTTCACAGGGACATCCTGAATTCACACAGGGACACCCCGAATTTACAGCTGGACAAGGTACCCCAATTCCACAGGGACACCCCGAATCCACAGGGACACCCTGAATTCCACAGGGACACCCCGAATTCACACAGGGACACCCCGAGTTCACAGGGACACCCCGAGTTCACAGCTTGACAAGGTACCCCTAATCCACAGGGACACCCTGAATTCCACAGGGACACCCCGAATTTACAGCTGGACAAGGTACCCCAATTCTACAGGGACACCCCGAGTTCACAGGGACACCCCGAATTCCACAGGGACACCCCGAATTCACACAGGGACACCCCGAATTTCCAGGGACACCCCGAATTCACACAGGGACACCCCGAATTTCCAGGGACACCCAGAATTCACAGCTCAACAAGGTACCCAAATTCACAGGGACACCCCAGATTCACACAAGGACACCCCAAATTCCACAGCTTGACAAAGTACCCAAATTTACAGCTGGACACCCCAAATTCACAGAAGAGACACCCCGAATTCACAGCTGGATAAGGTACCCCGATCGCAGGGACACCCCAAACCCCACAGGGGCACCCCAAATTCCCAGGAGTTTTCCTTCTCAAATCCACAGCAGTGACAGTTTATGGATCCACCTCGCTGTGCTTGGGATTGCAGAGTGGTATATTAAATTATATTAAGTTTTATTGTGCTTTGTTATTTTATTTTATTTTATTTGACATTTCATTTCACGTTTTATTTTATTTTATTTTATTTCTTTTGCTGGTTCCCAGGACAGTGGGCACCCTGAGACCCTGCTGAACCTGGTGGTGCTGTCCCAGCACCTGGGCAAGGCCCCGGAGGTGAGCGGGGTCCTGGGGGCAGGGATGGGGAAATGGGCTCATTTTGGGGGAAAAGGGACAAATTTGGGGGGAAATGGGATAATTTTGGAGTTAAATGGGATAATTTTGGGGATGAACAAGCTCATTTTAGGAATGGGGAGCTCACAGCCCCAGGGAGCTCTTGGGAATTGCCCTTTCCCATGGAATTGGATGATCCTGAAGGTCCCAACCCAAACCATTCCAGAATTCCACATTATTGAGAAAAAACCTGGACACAAAAAGCCTTTAGAGCTCTAAGTCCTGCTCTTCCTGATTTTATTTCATTTTTAACTTGGAACCACCACTGAAAGTTGATTTTAAAGTGTTCTATTTTTTTATTCCAAGTGTGTGCATGGCTCCTACTGGTTTGAACTGGGACAGTGAGAAAAATCAGGATTTTAGGTGTAAAAAACAAAAACACATTTAGGTGGGATTTACTCCACTCTGCCACCTCCAAATTGAGTTTTTTTTGGTCCCCCCCAGGTCACCAATCGTTACCTGTCCCAGCTGAAAGATGCTCACAAAAACCATCCCTTCATCAAGGAGTACCAGGCCAAGGTAGGGAATGGGAGAAAACAGAAATAATAACCAAAATAAATCAAATAAATGGAATTTCCCCCCATTCTGATGGAGCCAGGGGGTTCCTTACAAACAAATCCCAAGGGAGCAGCTCCATCTCCTTCAGGTTTTCCAACCTTTTTGGGAATCCCAAAATCTGCCTGAGATGCAGATTTTTAATCCAGGTGGAAATTTGTGCTGAAAACAGGAAAAGAAAAACCCAAAAAAACTGGGAGAGGGAATTTGGGGAGAGGGGAAGGGAAAAGCAGCAAATGACAAAAAAGGGATAAATTGGGTTTGCTGCTGGAATTAATTGAGTTTTAGGGAGCTGATTGTGGTGTGTTCTGCTAGAGGAGAGGTGATACATGTAAATTTGAGGAGGATTGATTGATAATGATTCATTATTGATTAATAAATGAATTTATAATTAATTTAATACATTTATTTTTGGCTGTGGTTGCAGGAGAACGACTTTGACCGCCTGGCCCAGCAATATGCACTGAGTGCCT